TTTATGTATTAAAAGAATACTTTTTTTTTAAAAAAAAAAATATTTTTTATAACACATTTTATAGTATAGTTATTACGTTTTAATACAAGTTTCTTATTATGTTTTAACAAATTTTATGAATTAACGTTATAAAAGACATGCGTGCGCACATACTTTTCATTAACTTTTACGTAATCAAAAACTACGTAGAAACGTAAAATATAAATACATTTGTGTTTTATACATTAATCATTACTGCTTACTTATTCGTTATTATTATGAGATATTTGAGATTTTATAGATATATCGATAACAAAAAGAAAAAGCTTTTATAAATCGTTTTATAAAAATTTTAATGAATATTGTTAATAAAGTTGTTATATTTTTATAATGTTCCTACTTATTTTAGAGACTTATAGTGCATATGCATTTACATTATAAAAGGTATAATTACAAATGATTTCCGAAGGAAATTATCTTAAATAAATGGGATATTACTTACCCCACGGGTATGTTGCATTGATCTGAATCTTAAACACCGATGATTCACATCGAATAGCTCGGCAGAAAAGATTTTCTACTCTATACCGACGTCTGATCGGGAGGAAAGAAGACCAATGTCATCGGCGTTTATTGTACGAGTACAAACTCCGATCATTCGTCAAGATTGCGCCATATTTTATACTTTAGTGATCAATGTTCATCGATGTATAAATAAGAATGACGCTCCGCAGTACAAACGCTCATAATTTTCGGTCTGTTATTATCCACCAACGCAACTATTCAATACTTGCATATGTATAATAGGCAATACGCGTAACAACAACAACAAACAACAACAATAACAACGATAATGCTAATAATGATAATGATAATAATGATGACAATAATTATAACAGCGTTGACGATGATAATGATAATGATAATGATAATGATAATGATAATGATAATGATAATGATAAGGGGACGGAATAAAGGCTAGTTAAGTTTGGTAATGTAGAATGAAAAATAGTAATGGTTGAAGAGCGTAAAGTATTTTCATTCTCTAATCAAATTCAGTACGATTGAAAGCGCAGACGTTACGTTTCGATGGGCCAATTAATCAAAACTAGTCGCGCACTCCAACTAAAGTGCTCGAGACCATTCGAATAGCGCTTACGTCGAACGTAATATATGCCGACCATTGGAACCAATTTATAATCGGCACTCGACCGTCCCGAGAGAGCGTCAAGTTTTCCTTCAGCCTTCGTACTCCAAGCCCGCAATAATAATCGCAATGTCCCTATAGGATTCGAGCTACAAGTAAATTACATTCGGCCGCACGAAGTCGCGTACCCGTTGCTACCGCGTTTCGAGAGCCTTTCAAGATAAAGCCCGGTGCACAAGCTGGAGTTGTCGGTCGGCGGTGGTGGGGAGAGGGACAAGAGCAAGCAAAACCAGCGCGAGGATAAAATGTCGAAAATATGATCGGCAGGAGAGGAAATGCCAGGGAGTCGCTATGCATGAGGCAAATGTTGGGCGATGCGCGCATGCAAAGTAGACCGTGAACGATACGAGCCGTTCGCTATTTCTCTCTCTCTCTCTCTCTCTCTCTCTCTCTCTGTCTGTCTGTCTGTCTACGGCTCCAAAGAAAATAAGAAAATTCCCAACGATCCTCCGACCCTCGCCGAGGAAGTCAACGTATGAAATACTTTCCGCGCACTCGACCTTTAGCCGGCCGATTCCCATAGGCGAGAGTAGCGCGGCTTACCGTTAGGCTGATTACACCGGATAAGAGCCAGCGCCACGAGGAGCGAGAGGAGCGAGTGAGAGGAACGGGTCGAGCTCGCGCCGATGATCGATCGAGGCAGTGGCTCGCGCGTCATCGGGGCGGCCCGACGATTTGTTAACGGATCATCGACGAGGAGTCGTCGGTAGCGACTCGCGGCTGCCTCACCGGGATTAAGTGTGGGACCCGCAGCCACGTTATTGGTGCCGATATTTCAGGAGGTCGCTTGACTCCGCCGAGGTCCCGCCGTCATCCGCATCCGATAAGCCGGTCCCACCTGACGCGAGGCTCTCTTTATACGGATGATTAAGTTATAACGAGGACGAGAAGGAGTTCGGTCCAAGTGTTAGGTGCGACTAATGTGGCGCGGCGGTCGAGAAACTTTTTTATTTATTTATTTTTTTTTTTATAGCCACGCAACTACTGCATTTACTTACTTATTATTAATAAATTGAGCGCTCTAAGGCATAAGAATATTGGCGATAAATTTTGAGCGTCGAACTTTGTTGAGCGAATGTGTTGACCTTGTGTGTTCATCGTTATGATCATCGTTACGATGAGGTCGAGTAAATGGATGTTACGAATGAAATTCCTTCGTACGATTTGTGATTGACGTTGAAATTTCGCGATTGATATGATTTCAGGGACTTGAACGAAATGTAATTTTGAACTTTCAAAGTACACAGACATTATTGAGGAATCGATCGAATGGGTAAATGTTATGCGACCGCGGGGCCTTGCGTATGGCTTATTCCCTATTTCGTGCTTCTTTAACTTTCTCGCGATTAATCGACGATATCTGCCGAGTGAATAAAAGTATTTCTAAAACATTGGAAATTTTATAATCGATGTTCAAGTTGAAGTGCTTTCGATAAGGCTTTGAAAACTTTTATTTTAGAAGGAGGCCATTCGAAATATGAAACTTACGTACCTTTCACTGTAATACGC